CCCGCCACCCCAAAATATGCTTATGGCTGGGTGACGCTGCGGAAGGTGAGTGTCTGCCCCACAGGCTGTGCTGTCCCTATCTGTCCCTGCCCAGCTGCCCAGTGCCCATCCCTCTCTTTGCAGTATGCTGACCTTCTGGATGTCTTGGATGTGCTGTGTCCCTCTGGTCCCATCCGGAGTCAGTTTCCCCTTACCTTTGAGGCCATAAAGCAGGTCAGGGGTTGGATGCCATGGGGTACCTGCTTCTGGGCTTGTCTGCCCTACCCTGGCTCCAGGATGGAGGAGCAGGGCTTGTCTCCAGACCCATTGCTCATTCTGGGCTGTTTTGCTGTGTTCTGCAGGCCCATGGCTTTGTGGTGTACCACACGCAGCTGCCGCGCGATGTCGGGGACCCAACCACGCTGGGCGCTCCTCTCCACAGCATCTGCGACCGTGGCTACGTGATGCTGCAGAAGGTGAGGCTGCAGAAGCACCCCTGTCCCCGGCCCAGCCTCTCGGGAGGGCTGCAGCAGGGCTGTGCCTTGCCAGGCTCTCAGCAACAGCCACAGTGCTGAGACACACAGAGCTTCTGTGGGGCAGCCCTCTGGCCCGATCTTGTTGCCCACCTCTGGTCTGGTTCTGGGGAGAGGAGGCACCAGGATGGAAATGCTGGCAGGCTGGTGGCAGCAGCTGGGGTGGTGGGATGCAGACGTGGGGCAGCAGGGCTGACCCCATGGCTGCAGGAGTACCAGGGAACGCTCGAGCGGGACGGGCAGACAGCGCTGCGTGTGACAGGCAGGGCAGGGGACAGCCTGGATGTGCTCCTGGAGAACATGGGCAGGATCAGCTTTGGAGCCAACATCAGTGACTTTAAGGTGAGAAGAGCTCTGGAGGGGGCAGGCTGGGCACCCGGGTGGCCAAACGCCCCCTCTCCCGTCACCTGCAACAGACCCCAGCCACGGTGGCGCCACTCCCAGACCTTCTCCCTGGTTAATCTCACACCATCCTGAAAAAACCCACCAGGACCGGGGTAAGGCCATGAAATTGGCACCCCTGTCTCCCAGTTACACTGCTGTTACAGCCAGGGTCATGCTGCCCCTCTGAGGTGATGCCATCCCACTTGCGGTGCGGCAAGGGGGATGTGCCTGGGGGAAGCCAAGCATCCTCCTGCTTGTGCCAGACCCAGCTGCCCCACTTCCCCTCCTGCTCCATCTCAGGGCTTGCTGGGAAACCTCTCCTTGGATTCCAGTCCTCTCAGCAACTGGCTGATCTACCCCCTGGCCATAGACACTGCTGTTCAGCAGGGCTGGCCCCACGCTGCCCTCCCAAAATTAAGCAGCAGGGGCAGAACAGGACCAGCCTTCTACACCGGGACCTTTGAGACCCCTGGCATTGCCTGGGACACGTTTGTGAAGTTCCCAGGTTGGAGCAAGGTAAGGCAGTGAGTAGCCAGGAGATGGGGTGAGGCTGGAGAGGGGAGACAGGACTGAGCTGTGGCATCTTCCAGGGCCAGCTGTGGATAAATGGCTTCAACCTGGGCCGGTACTGGCCCTGCCGTGGGCCCCAGCAGACGCTCTTTGTGCCTGGCTCGGTGCTGCACATTGGCCACCCCAACAACATCACAGTGCTGGAGCTGGAAGGGGCACCCCTCACGCCCTCCCTGATCTTCCTCGACCGACCCATTTTCAACAGGACCCTCAGCTGCAGCACCATGGCCACGGAATAAAGGCAGAGCTGCCTGGCACCTGCATCGTCTCTCCCTGGGGCCACAAAGATAGCAGTGGGCTGGTGAATTCAGGGGCGAGTGGAGGGGCTGCAGGGTCCTAGGAAAGGGGCACATGTGCTAACATTGGACCTCCAAAGCTCCTGGGCCAGGCAGGGTCTGTGCTAAGGAGAAGAAAGGTTGAGCTTCTTTTACATGTTAATCCCAAATCCAGTGCTCATGCTGACTCCCCCGTGCCTTGGGGGTCAAGGCACCTCTTTATTGACAATGCAGGCAAAGGAGGTAGTTGCTAACATGATATGGCTGAGACACCAATGGCATCCAGGACAGGAGAGGGCAAAGAACAGCCCAGAACATGGCCACAACTGCAGCTGCAGGTAGCTCAGGGCAGTGGGATCCAGGTGTGTCAGGAACCGTCCCACCACCACAGGCTAAAAGTTAGCCATGAGAAAAGCTGGCAGCAAGATCTCCCAGCCTGAGCTGGGCTACAGTGCAGTCCTGGCCCCTAACAGTAGTACATAGGGACCTCCCAGTTGCAATGTCCCCAGAATCACTACCCAGAGTGACGTTCTTGCTTTAAGCCTTGCCAGAGTTGCCCGAGTGGCATGGCCAGCTCAGTCCCTCCAACCAGTGCTGCTCCACAGGGTCTCCCTCACTGCATGGCCAGTGCTCGGCTGTATCTCCACCACATTGGTCCTTGGCAGGTGGCAGCAGTCCCCAAGCCTTATGTGTGGGTGGCCCGAGCCCGGCGGTGGGTTTGCAGGCAGGCCGTGGAGCAGAAGGAGAAGTCGAGGTAATGGAAAGGGATCCGGCCCAGTAGGGACTCTCCACAATGCCAGCAGCGGCTGCAGGGAAGAGCAGAGGTGGCCTTGAATGAAGGGGACACTTGCAAGAGGAGGAGGAGAGGATTCACTGCCTGGGTGACGTGACAGCAGCATGAAGGAGCTGGGGCTCCTCTGGTCCTGCAAGGTTGAGGTGCTCGCCCAGCAGCCTGGCCAGGACACGCTCCCCGGAGGTGATGCTGTGTGGGAGTGTGGGGAGGACTGCACTTTGAGGCAGGCTGAACGTGGGGGAATTTGGCCCCGTACAGGGTTGTAAAGGCCCTGCCCAAATGAGCACAGGGCCCACAAGCCTGTGAGGTGGCACAGTGAAAGGATGTGGGGTGAGCGACAGGGACACAGAAGTGGCTGAGGGATTGTCTTGCTGTAGATCCCACTGCAACGGGACCGAGCCCTTTGCAAAATATTTCAGGGGGACAGGGTAAGAGAAGGAGAAAGCTTTCACGCAGGCACTACTGGGAATCAGACAGGAATAGCTTTAGGCTGGAAATGAGGAGCAAGAAGGGCAGGGAACAGCTGTGCTGCCGGGAAAGGGTTTGTCCACGGAGCTGCGCTGCTGGGGCTGTTACCTGACGTTGACAGGAGTTGTGCCAGCATCCTGCAGCTGCATGACCAGCCTTCGCTCGGCAGCCAGGGCCCTCTGGGGAGAAGAGAGAAAGCTCAGGCACCCTCCCAGCCCCTGGGAACTGCCGTGCCAGCACTGCCCCACCTGGACTGGATCCCCTTCCCCATGCACGGACTCACCTTCTCCCTGTCGGACAGGGCTGCGAAGCGCTGCTTCTCCTCCTGCTCCTGCTCCCGGCGCTGCCGCTCCTCCCGCTGCGCCTGCTCCCGCTGCTTCCGCTGGGCTTTCTGCACCCGCTTCTTCTCCAGCTTCTTGGCCTCCATCTCCTGCGTCAGGGGCCCTGGCACCTAGCGGCAGAGGGCACTCAGTATCTGCCGCTGAGCCAGGCGCAACAGCATGAATGGGTGAGGGCTGCTTTGCTCCGGGGTCCCCCAGCTCCTCCAAATGTGAGGGCAGAGGGCAGGCACCCACCTGGGCACGGCTGTAGTCGTACTTGTCTGGGTGGTCCACCATGAACTTGCGGAAGGCGTTGCGTGTCGGTTTGTCAGCTGAGACACAGTAGGGAGTCCTCTCCTGCCTGTCTCTGCAAGACATGGAAGATCAGCTCACCCTGCCCTCTCACTGCCTACGTCCTCCCGTGTGGTGAGCCCAGTGACTTCCTAGGGATGTCCAACGGGTACTGCAGGCCAGGGTATCAGAGCCAAAGAGGGAAAAAGGTTGCTTATCTCTATGTCGGAATCCCCCATATCCTCCCCTTCTCGCATCTCAAATGCCCTGCAAAGTGTGGCCTCATCCCTACCCTCTGAACCGCCTACTAATACACCTAGAAGTGCTTCCGGGCAGTGTATGCCTGCCACTGTGCCAGACCAGGCAGGCAGAGAGAATGGTGGTTCAGCTCTTAGGCCTCCTGGAACAAGCCTAGCCATCCCAGCCAGGAGAGGCCCACCCCAGCCATCCCAGGACAAAGCTGGCACCAGTCTCCCCCGAGACAGGAGGGAGTTGCTGGGCTGTGCTCATCAACCGCTGGGCGTCCTGCGGCCGTACCTGAGGGCAGGGTCTGCCCCTGCCTCCATCAGCAGGCACAGCACCTCAGCCTTCCCTGCCCGTGCTGCCACATGAAGGAGGGTGCAGCCACGCTCATCCACGGGCTGGTTGAGCAGGGAGTGGGGCACACCCAGAGGCTGCGTGCCCTCTCCATCCTTGCTGTGCCCCGACAGGCCCCCACTCTCTGGCACACCCAGGAGGTGCCGCAGTGTCACCACATCCCCCGTTTTGCAGGCGGTGTACAGCGCGTCGCGGAGCTGGGTCTGAGGGTCTCCTGTGAGGGAGAACACACATCTCACCTGAAGGCGTGAGGCTGCGCTACAGCCATCCCACACCCAGCTGCGCTGGGCACCCATGTGACAAGATGCTCTTCACCCTGCTGCAAAGCCCCCAGCAGCCCCAGGCCCAGCTCCTGACACCACTTACCTCCAACACCCCAGGGAAGGGGCTCAGGCCCAGCCTCCTCCTGCAGCTCCATCACCAGCTCTGGGCTGGGCTGCCCACACTGGGGACCACGGCACTCTGTCTCTTTGGCACGAGGTTCTGCACAGGGAGCACATGGTCAGGAAGAAGGCCAGGGCCAGCCTGCACCCCAATCATGGCAGTCCCTTCCTTGATGCCTGTTCTGGCCAGTTCTTTCACCTTTCTCCAACTTCTTGTCCCTCTTCTTCCTCCTTTTGCGGTTTCGCTTGGGCACTACTTCAAACTCCCGGAGGTCCAAGGTCCCTAGTGTCACTTCCACAGTCTCCAGTTCCCCTGCAAGGCTTTCCTCCTCCACTCCCTCCTCCTCGGGTGCTGACGGGGGTAGAAGACAGAGGCTGTGGCCCTCCACACAGCTCAAAACACCTGAGACTCTCAGCTGAGCACACCCTGCCCTTCTGACCTGCATGAGGCTACACACTGCAGATCCCCACTGTGGTGCCAGGCCATGTCACAGGGCTGAAAACATGGTCCTGTGCCGTAACACCACAGTCCCCTGCTCACCCCATGGCTCAACTCACCACTTGTGTCCTCCTGCGGGGGATCCACCTCTGCTTTCCGCTGTTTCTTCTGCCAGCCCTTCCGGGGGGACCCAATGATGTCCTCCAGTGGCGTGTCCTTCCCTGGGCAGCAAGGGTGCTCCTATCACTGCCTGGGGACAGGGAGTGCCCCATTTCTCCAGGAATTGAGGGTTGGAGAGCTCGAATCCCCCTTAAGGCAGCGTCCCCGAACACACGTGGGATTACAGAAGGCACCATGTCACCCCATCTGCTCTTTCCCACAGGTGCTGGGGCGCCAGGGCTGGCCCAACTCACCGTACACCTGCAGGCTGGCCAGCGCGGCGTGGACTCGCAGCACCTCTCGCAGGGTGGCCCTGCGGGTGCTGAGGGGGATGTGGCAGATGCGAGAGTCGCCCCGGGTGAGGGGTGGGTTCCTGCCACCGAAGAGCAGCGCACGGCTGTGGCGCGGGGCCCGGAGAAAGATGCGCTGAGCTTCCTTCAGGTGTTGTCCCCATGCTTCCAGCAGGTCCTGAATATCCTGGGGAGGAAGGGGAAGCACCACAGGCTCCTGAGCACAGTGTAGGCCCGGACAGGCCTGGAGCAGGGACAGAGCTGCCTCAGTTGGGCCCTGACCCCTTTCTGGAGCTCACACCCCACCCACACCCAGAGGTATGGCACCACCCCTCAGAGCTATCCAAACTCCCTGCCAAGAACCCAGTCCGTGGTGCAGCCTCACCTTGAGCAGTGCAGCCTCATTGTAACGCCGCAGGGAGGCTCCGGCTGACCTGGGGGCCAACCCTGGGGTCCGGGCCCTGTGCTGTGCCCCGCCGGGCTCGCACCGTGTAGCGGTGGAAGGTCTTGTGCTCCTGCATCTGGGGGCTGCAGAGAGGGCCCCATGAATGGAGAGGTGGTGAGCTGATGCTCCTGGCACACTGGAGGGCTTGTGGCTTGCCCCTGGAGCCTTAAAGATTAATACTTCTCTTGCAGCACAACTGAGCTTAGCCAGCTCTCAAGCAAAGACTAGGAACTGTGGGTGGCCAGGGTGTGGCAAGCACTACGATGGAGGAGTAGGGAAGGGATGGCCATCTAATGCCCTGCCCCAGTTGTCCTTGCCCAGAGGGGCAACCCCAGCTCTGACTCCCCATACTCACCCCCGGAACACGGCTCCTGCGAAGTGCCCGCCGCCCATCATCAGCACAACCCAGCAGGTGCTCGCACCGAGGCTCTGCAGTGATGCTATCAGCTCTGCTGGCTCCTCACTGCCACCCTGAGCCACAAACACACCTGCTAGCACCCCTGGGATCACCTCGCTACCTCTCGCTGCCCCCTGATACAGAGACCAGCTTCTCTGCTGGCACCAGGTTTCTGGCAGCATCCCAGAGCCAAAAACCAGGCCACGAGCAAGCTGGGAGCTCTGACCTGGCACCAGAGAGCACCCCTCCCATCGCAGGACACGAGGTGCTGTCAGGCAGATGTACACCCTGGTGACACTTGCCCTCTCTGGGGTCCCTCTCCTGACAAGCTGAGCTGTGACTTGCCTTTCTGTTGCCCAGCACGCAGCGATAGGCAGAGATGAGCTGGCCCTTCTCATTGCGGAGCAGCACCTTGTGCGAGCGGGGGACCAGAGGGGTCCCAGGGGTGTCCCTGGCAGAGGGCAGCAGCTCCGACTCACTGCTTGAATCAGAGCTCTCTGAATCAGACCCTGAGATGCTGGAAACATCACCTGCAAGAGAAAGAAAATTTAGCAGAGCAAACACTAACTAGCAGCTTCCCCAAAATTTTGCAGTTGGCTCCAAGGGGCAGCCCACAACCCCAGAACTGTCCTGTCTGATACGCTACATATCACGAGGGGGCTGTGGAGACAGGCTTCTGGAGCTCTGGATTCCCATGTATGCATAGACTTGGCTCAGGTAGAACACTCCTCCCCAGAACAAGTCAGCAGCACTCGAGAACAGTGCTGGGCTCCCAGGAGACCCTGAGCTGGCAGGGACAGCCAGGGGCTTCATCCCTGGACTGAACAGCCCCAGAAAGACTGCGAAGACCTTTGAGCTCTGCTGGGGGCAGCCCCATTCCTCACCTGTGCGGGTCTTCTCCTCAAACGCTTCTACCGTCAGCATCTGGCGCCCAAGGAGTCGCTGCTTCAGGTTGAAGCGGTGCCAGTCGAGATGATAGTGCTCAGTCTGTGGAAGAACGAGGCATGAACCCACAGGATCTTGGTGGCCCATCAAAACTCACATCACCAAAGGCCCTGAGGTGACAGACTCCCAGGGCTAAACCAGTGCTGGGACCCTGCAGTGATTGTGAATGGAAGACTGTGCTACATTAGGAAGTTAATCATGTAACAGTTAATGTGTTAGGTGCAAGCCTCTGCTGCATGTACTATATACCCCCAGTAAATGATATTTTAAGCAATAATACGCAGGGTCTGAGTGCCAGGTCCCAACAGGATGTGGGCAGCAGAGCTCTGGGAACTGGCCAGCACTGGGTTGCACCACACGGGGACTGAGCCTCTGCAGCAGGGCCCTGCCAGCCCCACTCCTACCTCACGCTGCTGGCTCAGCCTCC